GAGCTTATCAACTTCCGGCCCGGGCGATGACCGTGTAACAACAGCTATAGTGTTTAATATAATATTATAATGTTAACTATATTTGCAATGGAATTGCGTCGACATGTACGTCAAGGTCAAAATGGAGTTAGTCAATTTCAATCGTTTCAATCAAGTTACGATCAGACGTGTACATCCACTTGCGTGACGCTATCGCTACTGAAGGAGACACGGCCAACAATGGTCGTGTTGTTTTAAAATGCCCAAAATATTAAGATTTAAACTTAATAGAAAGGGCAGCAAAAATAAGTCATAAAGGAGAATCTTCATCAGAAACTTAAAACAGTCTTGAAAATGAAAGAGAATACGAGTCGCAATCACGTGCCAGACAGTCGAGTAAAAAAAAAAATGTAAATTTTAAATACACATTTTTGTGAAAAAAAAATCGAAAAAATCAAGTGGGAGCTAAACTGCATTTGTTACAATGACAGTTGAAAAATATGAAAGTCCACGTTCTTTTGTTTTTATAAACATTTAAAGTTCGAATTTCGACAAAATACGTAGAAATCATGAAAATGTGCAAATTATTTTGATTTAGAAATTCATAAAAATTGTTGTTTCTTAAATATAGGACTTGAAAATATAATACAAGATTAATCTCATAAGTTTGTCTAATTTTATAAAAATATTATACTTAGTTTTTTCCAATTTTGTGTTTGAGACTTTTAAAAACCGGTCTCAAGTAGATGTGATCATTGAATTCAAGTTTACCTTACTATATTTACCTATACTATATTTATTGATTCGTTAATTTATCAATGTTATTATATCAAGTTCAATTATATGACTTGTTGTGCTATTAATGTATTGAATTATTCATATTGCTGTAGGTACAAGCCACAAGGTACCTACTATATTTTTAAGTCTATTTGTACCCTTCCCTCTTTTTACTTTTATAATATCCTAACTTCAAGTGCAGACGATAATGAAGTTGTAGGCAACACAATTTTACTCTGCATGTTATAATTATGTAATGTACGTTACTCGTTCGAAGGGTTCTGAGTTTAGCAGACATCCGGGCTCCAAAAATAGCGACGTATCCATTCACGGTACTCACATAAAGCCTTATTTACTACTTTACGAGCTACACGGTTCCTGGCACTGCATGCGAAAGCTTACGCCGCCTGGTTAGTCAATCTTCTGAGGACCATCATCAATTTCAGAAGGGTTTCATCGCCCTGCATCAGTTACTGACCCCGTTCGATGTCCTCACTGCCAAACAAAATCAAAAACTACACAATTACGACTACGGTCACGTTAAGACGTAACCAAAACTGTTACTGAATGTAGACTTGAAATGAAATATTAATATATATAAAAAAAATCAAAAAGATACTTGAGCCGTATATCTATCGTGTAATAAGCTAATAAATAAACTCAATATTAATTATTATATTTTAAATGTTTTATTTATAAATACTATTAAAACACCAACTAATATCTATGGTAATTACTGTGTAGCGTCTTTGACTATATAAATAGTAGATTTAAATAGAGGGTTCTCAATATTATATTATGGTCATCTGTTATTGAAATTGTATAATACGTATCCAAAAATGGCAAAGCAAAATCGGTTTTTGACGCACATTTAGGCACTAAAATGCGTTATCGTTGCGCATAATTTGCGACAATATCATTCTGCTCGGATTTACAATATGGCCTGGCCTAACCATATATTAAAGAATAGTATAGATAGGCGACTATAATACTCTGCAGGTATTCCGGGCACGTAAAATATTACTCCAGCGGCTATTCTCCACACATAAAACCCCGGGGGGGGGGGGTCGGCAGCTTAGTAGAGCCCAGGTTTTTTTTCTATTTATTGTTTTATTGATGTTCCTATTCATTAGAATGAAATAAAAACAATAACTTATTAGTTAATAGTTATTGAATTTAAATTTTTTGTGGATACAGTTATGGTTTGTTTTAATTCTCAAACGCTATCGGTTGCGTTCTTCAATACTTTATTATGATAAATTGGTACCATGCAATTATTGTCTATCATAATAATATATAAGACTCACAAAGAAAAAAATATGAGAAAAATAGATCTAATATTATAAAGACACTATCAAAATAATGATATTAAAATATAAATAATGTGTTATTTTTTTCTTATTTACTATAACATGTTATTATTTTAATATTCCCCCCCCCTCATATAAAATTCCTGTCTACGGCACTATTATGACTATTATGAGTGTGACACACTGGGCCTAACACAACGACTACATATCCACGGTGGTCGGTGGCCGTATAGTGGCCATGGCCAGTAGCGTACTCAGGATTTTAGTTCGGTTAGGGCTTTACCTAATTTTTTCTAAACAGTTTTTATATAACAAATTATAGTTAGTCTCATATTTAGTCTACATTTACAGTATTTAACCTAATAATCTATATATCCTCTTCGGGCCATAATAAACGTGGTAATAATCAATGAACGATGATACACCATCGACTATGGCAGACGTTTGGCAATGTTCTAAATGAGCCAAAAAAAAAAAAAAACCTAAACTGATTATCGACGTCGTTGTCATATTCAACAATTTATTTTATATCTATTAAAAATTACGAACAATTGATCTGTGTGTACCAAAATAATGGTAAATAATATTTTTTAAAAAAAATAAATTTTTTTTTTGGGGGGGGGGGGGGTAGAAACCTATAACACTACCCCTGCGTACGCCACTGGCCATGGCCTGCGCCAATCATAGGATTTGGAGCCACTTCACTGGAGTACCTACCTACAGATTAATGCTACTTCAAATTAAATTTTTATGAGCGTTTGAAATTCAAATTTTCACAACATTGGATATTCACTCGATTACTCATGTAGCGATTTCCTTATT